ACCCCTGAAGTTTTCTATACATTGTATATAAACAAGTTATATTCTGACGTAAATAACAAACCCAAGGGTTGTAGTCACCAATCGGTGTAGCACCTGCTACAATCTATATAGCTAATTGCTATTGCAACTTTCAACTACCTATGTGACCAACTATATCCTCTATGACCAACTAACATTTAGCTCTTGCAGTGACCGAAAATTTCCGATGTGGGTAGTTACTGCTTTAACTTCCCACTTCGGCATACGTGGCTAACTGTTGCCATTATAGCCTTCCACTATAGCCTCTGTGACCAATTAACGTTCTTGCAACAACTTACTATGGCCAATGTGGCCACTTAATATTGTAGCTTCCCGCTACAACATATGTGGCTAACTGCTATTAATATTGCATTCCACTATAGTCTCTATAGCCAACCGACACTCTTTTTGCATTCCACTACAGCCTCTGTAGCCACCCTACACTCTTAAAACTACTAATTACGGTGACCTCTTTAGTCAACTGATGTCCTTGTAGTGACCAACTTATGTGACTAGTTAATACTATAAAATCTCACTGCGGTCTATGTGGTTAACTGTTGTCATTGCATATGTGATCAATTACTTTCATTGTAGCCTTCTACTACGACATATTTGCTCAACCACTATAATTACAACCTTCGACTATGACCTAAATGACCAACCAATGCTCTTACAACCTTCCATTATGGCCTCTATGGCCAACTGAAGCTCCTGTAACTACCAAATTCAGCGACCGCTCTGGCCAACTGACGTTATTGCAACAACCAACTATAGTCTATGCAACCAACTACGACTTATGTTAATAATTGCTACTGTAACTTCCAATTACAGCCCATGTGACTAAGTATGACCTATCAGCTACTGCTACTACAACCTCCAACCAGACTTATGCGAGTAATTATGACCTATGCGATTAACTGCTACTACAACTTTCAACTATGACCTTTATGACCAATTGATGTTATTGCACCCACCAAATCTAATATTTGTGACAAGCTGCTACTTTTATAACAATCAACTATGAGCTTTGCAACCGACTATTGTTATTGTTATTATAAAATCTATACATTTATTGTAGCTCAATTAAGACTATTAAATCCCGATTATTATAGTTTATCTGTGATTATCAATATTGTAATTATATCTTCTCTAATTCAAGAGAAGAGTTGACATTTATACTTGCAATCTTACAATTTCATGGTTTTTTTCTTTCTCCAGCGTTTATCCAAGTAAAAAAGTTAGGATATCTCCTATTATTTTTCTTTTATCTGCAACCATGTGGAACCTTTGTGCAATGCTAGCTAGAATGTTAAAATATCACCATACAGCCACGAATCTTTCAGACACGTAAATGAAAATATATATAAAAAAAAACTTTAAAAAATATTAAAAAATAATGATATATTAGTAGAGAATAATTTCAAAAATTAAAAAAAATTAAAGATTCAAATTTCTTAAGAAAATTAATTTACAATTAATTTTAAAGCTATAAATCACTCAATTAAACTTTGAAGAACATCCCATAAAGTTTATGAATGAGTAGTTTTTAGCATTTGCTAGAAAAATTCAAGTATTACAACAAGTTTGTATTTTGTTTGTTTATCGTTTAAAAGTTTTATTAATTTGTCTTCATATCGTGATATTTAATGTAGAGAATAATAATGAGCTATATATTTTATATTCATAGTTTAATAGACATGAAAATGTGTTCACGACTTGGTCTGTGTCATATTTCTTACAATCATGTTATGTTGTTATATTTATGTCATATGTGATCTCTTGTTCGTGCCCACGACTACATAAAAAATATACTCATTCATTTAGCATCATTTAATAATATCCATAAATCATAATAAATGTTTAGAAAATTATCATGCAAACAAGTTACTTGGTCTGTGTCATTCCGCCATTTGTATTAGACGCGGATCGCAGGTAGGATCCCGCGATCCGCTTTTCATTTGCTCGAAAGACAAAATAAGCCCTTAGCATTCGCTTCCTCACGCGCTCGCAGAGCTCTGCCCTAGTGAATCGCCCGAGCCCCTCGTTCGTTACCACCCAATTCATATATATTTACATATATAACACCTAAACTTTACTTTTGACAATCATGCCACTCGAATTTTTCATATCAAATAAACATATCACCCAAATACTACACTTTTTCATGCATTATAAGGTGCAACATGTACCTAAAAAATAAAATTTAAATGTTAGATATGTAAATATATAAGATTTAAGTGGTATGGACGTAAAAATTCCTTTATTTTTATAATTACTATAAAGATTGTTAAGAAAAGGCTAATGATCTAAATTAATCATCTAAGCATCAATCAACTAACGACATAGTGTAAAATAATCGGCCGATATTTCTTATATGCAAATCAAGTTCACGTCCACGTTGAGACTTGACGTACTGAACTTAATATATATATATATATATAATATTTAAATAATAAAAAACGGTGGTGACGTATGTGCTGAGGCTTAAATTTTCAAAAACATAATTTCTTAAATACCGAGCACTTATTTATTAAATGTCAGTTTTTTAGAAGATTTACATATATACCACTCAATTTATATGTATTTACATATATGTATGAAAATTGTATTTCATCGTTTAAAGGTTAATTGCTGCGGTATTTTGGTGGGATATGAAGGAAATGGGAGGTATACATGTAAAAAAAAAAAAAAAATTGTGTTAGATATATAAATACATAGGAAATGGGTGGAATGAAAATGCCCATTTTTAATTATTTAGCTTCAATTTTACATTTTTATGTTTATATCTTGATAAATTATCAAATAATTTATTATTAAACAAGCTCACAAGCAAACTAAATGGCTCGACAAGTCGAACATGATAACATTAAAGTTTGTCCACTCTATGTCAAATCGGATCGAGCCACTAAACCATTTATTGAAGCTTTCAGAGGATAATTGACTCGACAAGTCGAACATGATAACATTAAAGTTTGTCATACTTATTGAAGCTTTCAGTGGATAATTGGAAGGTCAAACAGATTCCAAATTTGACAAACATATAGTCGAGTCAAGCATCTTGGCGAAACAAATTCAATGAGGTCAAGATCGCTCAATTCTAACATCATTAAGACACTAATTGTTTACTTCACGTAGATTGCCCAGCTCGAGCGTTAAACAAAGCAAGCCTACCACCACAATTAGTCGATTTCTATTGAAGCTCATGTTATAAAACAATGACTTGAACAAGATGTTCACAAAGCTACTAGTGCCAGTGATGATGATACCAATATGACAATTGTTGATCAAAGCAGTGACGACAATTGCATCATTGTAAGGATTACCCTTAGAGGATAGATCTTCACTGGTGAAGGTTATGAGAGAAAGTTGCTACATTTGGGAGCAAGGTTGGCTACAAATAATTCTATCGACGAAAGCCTCTTTATGTTGGCTCGGCTGAATGAGTCTCCACCTCATCCAAAAATGGCAACGACTATGTCAACGATGTAAATTGTGTGGACTTGGACTGACTCATCTGATATTTCTTCTATTATAGCTTTCCCCTATCACTAGAATGTTACTCTTGGAGCCACAAACTACTAATCTTTTTGGCCTTGATCGGTTATCTCATCAGGCCTCAAAGGTATCAGAATTCCTCCATTTTATGATCATTGGTTCCGATGATAGGCATAATACTTATTATGGCTCCGGAGGTAACCTCTCATTTTAATCAAGGGTGCCCTCTTATGACAACCTAAATTTAAATGGTCTCCACTATCTCAAAAATCTAAACACTCAATAGAGTTGTCTTAAGTACTTATGGATAGGCGGCAGACACTCATTACATCGAGCCGACCGCTAGTCGGGATGTGAGGCTTGACTCCCTTATTTGTATGTTTTGTCAATAGCTTTGTGGTATCAGAGCGACTGAGTGTCTTCAAAGCTAGGGTGCGTAGAAAGATGTGAATCATGCTCTAGTCTCCATCCCTCACCTTGAGGGCCTGAAATGTCCGTGAATCACAACCAAGGAATAAAGTGAAAGTTCGGAGAGTGTGGAAAAGAGAGAGAAATAGATAGAGGAGTGAACAATAATGAATAATAATACATTGTGTTTTATTCATGAAATAATCTTCCTACTTATAGGGGTGAGTGTACACTATGACGATGTTACATTTTTGTCATGCTAAAAAGGGGACAATAAAATGCATTCTTGGTATTTTACACGTATGAGTCAGTTGTTTCGATTCTCTCTAGCTCGATCGATTGCACTTGATTGGCTTTAGGTTGACAGGATCAATTCAGTTGACTAGGCTTGGTCAACATTGTTGATCGGCTGATCTAATTTGTTTGTCAACATTTGATATGAGGTGTGGAGACTTCAGGATGCCCCCAATACGATTGGATATGACGAGGAAATGTGTTTTCCCTCGATCTAACTTCTTCGTGGTGGTCATCTTGAACATCTCTTTTTCTCATGTCCGACGGAACGGTTTTGACTCAGAACATTTGATCTTCTTTCATTGCACGGTTGGCTTTGGCCTTTCTAGCTTTTTCTCGGACGACTGCACTCAATTAGATAAGTATGCCTCCTATTCGCCCTCCCTCATCTTACTCCTTCTCTTAACCACTAGATATCCTCAGGAATGCATAAGATAAAATATCATACATATAAAAATAAAATTTAAACATCAGATATGTAAATACCCAGACTTGAATGGCATGTATTCAAATCTAACTCATTATTCCCTAGAAAACGTTTCAATTTTTTCCATGCCATATCACAATATTTTAACACCATACTGCCGAAACACCGCCTGCACTTCTGACCCGTTAATGGCCTCCTGCAACCCCGTATTTTTAAAACTTCAACAATTAGCTGAATCAACAAAATAATCTGCAGGCCAACTTGGCTCCAACGGATCCAGTTTTTTTCCCAATCAACGGCACCAAGCCTATATAAACCCCATCAACTCTCAGCATTTGCAGACAAGCTTTGAGTTGACGTGAGATAGGCAAAGATGGAGAAGAACGACGCATTGGCTCTCCTCCCCCTCGGCCAAATGGGCCACATAGTTCCCATGATCGAGCTAGCAAAGCGCCTCCTTCACCATGGCCTCTCCATCCACATCTTCCTCCTCCAACTACCCTTCCTCAACAATCATCCCATCAACTCCTACATCTCCAACATCAAATCCTCCCACCCCTCCATCTCCTTCCACCACCTCCCCATCATCACCCTACCCTCCCTTTCCCCAACCCCGCTCGACGACCTCGTACAAACTCTCAAACTTTCCGTGCACCACCTTCTTCGCCATCTCCATTCCTCCTCATGTTCCTTTCGCGCCCTTATCGTAGACTTCCTTTGCGGACCAATTGTGTGTGATATCGTCGAAGAGCTCCAACTTCCCTTGTACATTTTTTGTCCAATCAATGCCTCCGCCCTCTCGGCTTTGCTCTACGTCCCCACCCTCCTCTCCCAATCTGACACCAAATTCGACGAGCTTGGTGATGCCCCACTCCACTTGGCAGGCCTCTCATATCCCATCCCAGCTTCTTACTTTCCGGAATTCATGTTCGACCGCACTAATGAGGCGAGTAAAGAGATGCTCGCCTCGTTCGCCCTTGTGCCCAAGCTAGCGAAGGGTGTCCTTCTCAACAGTTTTGAGGCTTTGGAGCCCCATGTGATTCATGGTGTTGCAAATGGCTTATGCTTCTCGAGTTTTGAAATGACCCCGATCTATTGTGTAGGGCCCATAACAAGGAGCAGGTTAGCTAGCGAGCCACGTCATGAGAGCTTGGTGTGGCTAGACGAGCAGCCTAGTGGGAGTGTGGTGTTTCTTAGCTTTGGAAGCTTGGGGGCCTTTCCGGAGGCACAACTTAGAGAGATTGCGATCGGGCTTGAGCGTAGTGGACAGAGATTTTTGTGGATTGTGAGGGGCCCGCCAGTGTCTGGAGGGGTTAAGGGTGGTGTAATGCCGTGGACAGAGCCAGATCTCAAGACATTGATGCCTGATAGGTTTGAGGAGAGAACAAGGGAGAGGGGAATTTTGGTGAGGTCATGGGCTCCGCAGGTTGAACTGTTGGAGCATGAGGCAGTTGGTGGGTTCGTGACTCACTGTGGATGGAACTCTGTGTTGGAGGCCTGGGTAGCTGGGGTGGCGATGATTGCGTGGCCGCTTTATGCGGAGCAAAAGATGAATAAGTTGTTTCTAGTGGAAGAAGCGGAGGTGGCGATCGAGATGAGAGGAGATGAGAATGGGTTTGTGGTGGCCGAGGAGGTGGAAGAGAGGGTTAGGTGGTTGATGGATTCACAAGGTGGGAGAGAGCTGAGTAGGAAAGTGGAGGATGTAGGGAAGAAGGCGAGGGATGCGATAATGGATGGAGGGACGTCTCATGCCGCCATGATTAAGATGTTGCAATGCATGAGAGGTGGTGAAGAAGATGGTGGACGACAACACTAAGATAGTTGTGGGCGTGCATTAATTTTGCTAAGTTGAGTCACATGATTCTTGTTTCTTGGAAATCAAATAATGATTGAAATGATTTTAGTAGATGAGTTAAGTTCATGTTACTTGTGTTGTTGAGATTTGATGGAGTCAGCTTGATGAAATTTTTATTTGTTGTTAGAACCAGCCACAAAAATTATTTCGGTTCATCTGTGTTTTCTATTTTGAAAAATAAGTGATGATTATCCTAAAGCTATCTATTATTCTTGTATACTATTTGCTTCGATTTGAACCAAAAAGAACAGAATAAAAGAGAAATGGTGATGAAAAAGATAAAAATTTTGGAATGATGTCATTTTTCTTAAGCTACTTATTTAATTGTGAAAAATTCACCATTAAATTAATACAAATTGTTTGAAGTTTTAGATAAAAAATATTGGAAAAAATGGTATTCTTGAATTTTAAAACAGTCCAAAGTACTTACTTTTTGTTCATAATTCTATTAAGTGCATGTGAGCTTTGATTTTAGAATTTTAGGTCCACAACCAAAATTGATTTGCACAAATCTCGAGATAATCTAATGGTTATATCAAAAGATAAATGATGAGACTCTCCTCAAATGAGAAGCTACAAGTGCTCATGAATCTGATGGGCTGAGGACCACTAGCCGATCGACCAATAGCCTACTGATCGAAGGCCAGATCGCCAAAGGGCTAATCATGCTGACTAGGGAAATGCATCCACGACAACGATCGGTCAAAGGTCCAGCACCAACACCCCCAACTATCTCACAAGTATCAATGCATATTCCTCTCAATAACTCTCCCAAAGATCTTCGTAGATCACCAAAGAATAATAATTAAGCAAGCCTACTGGAGGTCGATCAACTAGCACACTCAAAACTGACTAGCTTCCCGAAGCAAAAGCCGATCAGTTTCCAAACCAAAAGCCGACCTAAACCAGCTTAGTCGACCGACCAATGACTTGCCCAACAAAAAGTCCAGGCATGCTAAAAAGACAGTAATAACCTGCAACTCCTTTAATAAAACAAGAGCAACTATTTAATTTTACACTTTGTCCCTCTATCTCATATAAATAGGGGGACCACAACATATATTAAGGGTTTTTTGGCTCTTCTCTCTAGAACCATCCTCCGTAGAGAGAAATCTCTTCCCTTCTCTTTTGTAACTGCCACTTTCAATACATAAAATGGGTCACAGAGTCTGGGAATACCCTAGTTTGCCTCAGAGGGGTAAGTCGTTATGTATTCTCTCCTTCACTTTCCCTTTCTTTCCCTCTCTTTCTCTCTCTACCTCTCCCTCATGGTTTATGCCGCTCTGATATTTAGGCATGCCTCACAGAATAAAATTGTATTCAACATCCTAATAGGTACAACAAAAAAATGGTTAGTACAAATCTCTAGACAATCTAATGTTTAGATCAAAAGATAAATGACGAGAATCACCTTAGATGAAAAGCTACAAGTTCTCCAAAATTTGACTAGTTGAAGACCACCAGTCTACCGATCGCCAGCCGATTAAAGGACTGCTGATCAACCAAAGGTAAGACGACAAAAGGGCTACTCAGGCAGATCAAGGATAGGCATCCACACCAAAGGTCGGCCAAAGGTTTAACACCCCCTACAATCTCACAACTATTAACGTGAAGCCAACGATTATGGAGTTTAACTAATAGTCGAACCCATCATTTATTAAGAAATTAAAAACCGATGGTCAAGGAATATCAGAAAGCTGTCGAAAAGGCTGAATATATCAAACAGACATTATAAACTTCTCATTTTCTCTCGTGTGCGTGCCTTTGCTCCAGAGCCGACAAACGCCCTCTCGATTCAAAATTTCCTTAAGGTTTATCATATCTTTATTTTTTACACTCAAATCGTCGGTAACCTTAATTCCACTATTCTTAAAGTGTGTGTGCCGCGTAGCCCGGTCTGTTAGTTGGCATCCATGGTATAAGTTCCCTCACATGGGGGGGTTCAAATCCCCTTTGGCACAGTTGGTCTTAACGAGGTGGTACTCGAATTGTTAGACACATTAGTATATATATATATAAGAGAGAGAGAGAGCCAATTTTCTGCAGCACTTTGAAATAAGGAAATATAGACATCAATTACATGGAAATCTACATGTTGAACAAGCATTAGAGTAAGACTAAATACTGAACATAAATATTATATAATAACTTGCATATTTTACAAATCAATAGTAAATAATTACTATTACTATTATAGTCATTATGTCTAATGTAAATTACATATTAAGTATGAATTGTAGAAATTAAAAAGTTATCAACAAAAACAAATCATTATTTTTTATTAAAGGACATCTGCTAAATTTTTATTTGTGTGAAATCATTTCAGAGTGACTATATATTTATATGCTTGATATGATTTTAGTTCATTACTTATAAGGGAATGTATTCATAGTTTGTATTTAATGTTAGTTCAATGGGATATTCAATCAATTTTTCAACTCTACTCTGTCATGTAGAGGGTCGGATCTATGAATTAGGCTTACAATAGCACTTTATGTATTGGACATAAACAGTTTGCATTTGAAAAAATGAACTCCTTCTGTAAAAATTTTGAAGGTATAAATATTTATTTTAGGGTATAATTCTTTTCTGCTCCAGCCTTCGAGATGAAAATGGTCCAATTTGAAAAGATGAACTCCTTAACATGCTTAGAGACAAGTCGGTTTGCTAGGAATTTGCACTGCTTGTCGGTTTTTTGTTCAATTTTAAAAACTAAATTTTCATTTCAAAAATAGTTGCATGTCTTCCAAAATATATTCATTCTTTCAATAGTGGGCAATATGGATTCATCTTACTTTGTCTACACAATATTCTTATAATTTATGTTTTGTTGTTTAGGTTATTTAAAGGAGCATATATGAATGTGTTTAACTTAATAAGTTTGAGCACTCTTTATAAAAATTTATGTTTTAAACCAACTTGTATGTCTTTTAAGGCAATTTACTATTTTAATAAATCTTATGTTTTAGAGCATTTAAACAATTTTTTAATTATTTTTCATCTAAAAATGAAGAACCCTACTTAGCTCATTTTCACATTCATTTGTGTTCTTTCACTTGCATAAGAGTGTTTTAAGAGGTTTTAGTGTTCAAGAAAAGTTCTCTTATTGTTCTTACATGTAAGCAAGTTCCTTGAGGTGTTTGCAAGGCTTCCTCAAGTTCTTCATGTTCATATTCAACTATCACTAAATATTATTAGGATAATTTAATTTGGTGTTTAATTTAACTCTCGATTTTGTATTTTCTTATTTCAATTTAGTCTTATTTTCTACTTAAAAAGGCTAGGATTCTTGTTCGAAAATTAACTTGCCATCCTAACTCGAAATGGGAAAAAAACATAAATTGATTCATTCCTAAGCTTAACATTTGGTCATCACCACTATAATCATCAATTCATCCCTAACTATTTCCAATTGATCATTTATATTTTTTATTAGTTTTGTATTGTTCCAAAATTTATTAACTCTATAATGCATAATTATGAAAAACAATTTCTATCAAATTTAGAAGGTTGCTATGAATGGCCAAATAAAAATGTAAAAGTTAACTAATTCTTAGGAAAACACCAATTAAATTCAAATGTGCCATAAATTATATGGGATATCAATCTTATAATGAAGTATGAAAAATGTTTATAAAGATCTCATGGGCTTGTTGAATAGGAGAGAAGAATAATAATATTCATAGTTTAAGTTTTTACTATACTTGCAATTTAGAATCACTATAGAAAAGATGTGAATTAGCGTTAGATATAATTTTGATGCAAAATTTGCGTCCGTTCAGCGGCGTGTGTGGTCTCAAACTTTAATGAGTCGATGCAGACGAGTAGCACCGATGCTGGGACGCTAAGTAGACACGTTAGTGTTACCAATAAGCGACGCTAATTTCAATTATAAGTGTCGGAATTAGCCGACTCTAATCCATGGCAAAACATTTACTCATTTCTCCCCACGTTGCTCCTTCAAGTCTCAGCCCTTTTTTGGGTCTCCAGCTCGTTTTCACCGCTCGATATTCGTCCGAGGTGAGAAAACTTCATGTACGCCTCCAAGCATCTGTTTTACATAAGTTTTGATGCTTTTTTTAATAGGTGTGTATAGGTATTAGATTTGGAATTTGAATTTTTTTTGTTAACTATGCAATGCATATGAATTTAATGGTTTTAAATAAGATTTAAGTGTTATGTGGGTGCGAGATATGTAAATATATAAGAATTTTGTACAACGTATGGAAATGCCACAAAAAAAATTTTGATTCATTTGAATGTTATGTGCCTAATTATAAAACTTTAGGTGCGAGATATGTAAATACATAAGAATTTTGTGCTATTTATGTAAATGCCCCATAAAAATTTTATTTTGAATATTTGGTGTTATAAAAATATAAAAGTTTATGTGTAAGATATGTAGATATATAAGAATTTTGTGCTATGTATGTTGATGCCTCAAAAACAATTTAATTTGAAGATTTGAGTGCTATCTATCTAAATATGAAAGTTTAAGTGTGAGATATGTAAATACATGAGAATTTTGTGCTATGTATGTAAATGCTCCAAGCAAATTTGTGTTAGCCTTGTTTAACTTAGGCTTTATGTTTATGTGGTGTTAATGATATTTTTGATATGATATTAAAAATTTCGGTGTTATGTGTATAAATATAAAAGCTTAGGTGTGTGATATGTAAATACATAAGAATTTGGTGATATGAGTGTAACTGCCCAAGAAAATAGTAAAGATTTGAGTGCTATGTGTAAGTTTAGGTGTGAGATATGTAAATACATAAGAATTTTGTCCTATGTATGCAAATGCCCTAAATAAGTTTGTGTTAGCTATGTATTGCTTAGGCATTGTGCGGTTTTTTTTAGAATGTAAAGTTTAAGTGGTAGTCATCTAAGGTTGTCTGACATGGGATTTAAGTAGGACTCAATGACGATGTACTAATATATAAAGTTACATTTATGATGCAAATGGATATCCA